CCCCAAAACCCCAAAACCCCAAAACCCCAAAACCCCTTTCAAAATTCACATAATTGAGACTTAATGGTGATCTATTCCATTCATATGGGCACTTATAACGTACTTGGAATTGTTATAATCCTTCAGGTTTGGCTGCATGTGGGCACCTAAATTCCCCTTAAATTATCCGAGAGAAACTGGGCCAAGAGCTTTGGGTGGCTGAGCTTACCTTTCTCTAATGACTGATGGGGATATGGAATAACTTTGACTTGGCTCTCTTGTTTTGAGTGTTGTTAGAGGAGGAGATAGGTCAGATGTTGAAGGAGTATATATTGGATAGCTTTTGAGTGTTTTTAGGGGGATTTGAGGGATTTTTTGACTTTTTTGGGCTTTTCATCGTGGGTTTTTGTGTCTTTTCTGTGGTTATAGGTTTTTGAGAGATGTGGTTGAGGTTAATTGAGGGCATTTCTAACACACTTTGAGCTATGTAAGGAGTTTTGAGTTTATTTATATGGATTTTCAGGAGATCTACGGGTTTGTGAGACCCTTGATTTTAAGTTTGCTTTCTTTATATGAGGATTTTTTGTTTTAAAAGAGAAATCGGTAGATCTACTCTTTCTTGAGTCAATAGGTGTTTCAAAGTGCTTCTCTGCCAACGGTATCGATCTTTCTCGAGCTCTTAGTGCTCGAATAGTAGTCCTAGGAACAAATTTATGTCTTTGACTCCTCCAGTAATTCTCAAAAGCAGTCATAATTTGCTCAGAATCTGCTGAATTTGAAGACACAGAGTTAAGAGAATCATCAGTTTTAAAATCTGATTTTTCTAGAATTTCTATTTTTCAGTTATTATTCTTACTTTTCAGTTTGTTTTTCGAACTTTTAAATTTTGACCTAGTTCTCGTTTTCAGTCTTTTCTATAAGAAAATAAGGGATCTTTCATAACAAGTAATTCCCTAATAAATTCTTCTCACATGTATAAGCATCTTAGGTTTCTTCCTCTCTCTTCTTTGGGTTGGAAACCTTGAAATTTTGATTTCATTGAAGGAAGTGTTATTCTCATTATGCTTTTTGACCATACTTACTGTAAATATTTGTTACCACAAGCTTAAATCTAGGTTACTTACTTGCTCTCTCAGTAATTTCAAGCCCTTGGGGACTATTTTTCTTATAGGAATTTTCAATCTTGTTTTGACTCTTAAGAATCCGTCCAAAGATCATTTTCTTAATGCATGTTTCTATAGTTTCCTTGGTGTTCATATAGACTTGTGAGAGGTTTTTATCGCCGTCAACAATCCTCTCTTTGTTCACAATAATTCTATTTTTCTCTTTCGGGTACATCTTGATAAGCTTCCTGCTATTCTCAAGGTAATTCTGGTTAATTCTAGTCAGAATTTTAGAGAATTTCTTGTACCTTGTGCGAAGAATCAAAGTCGATATAGGGTCCCAGTTGAACTCATCAGCTAGGGAATCCTGTTCAGGCTTAGGCTGTCTTTTGGGAATGGATTTGTTACTGATAGGGTCTCCAAACCGCATATGAGTGTCTTGTTCCTCCTCTTCACATTTGTAAGGCTTGTAATAAAATTTGAACTTATTTCTGTTTCTCTGTCAACTGAGGTTCTTCAATAGAATCCTTTTTAGCAAGCTTCTTCTTATTCTTGGAGCCTTTCTTGGAGATCTCTGAGTGTAACCCAGATATGCTTCTTTTATGCTTACGACCTTTCTTCTTTTGATGGTCATCGAGCATGGAAGAAATCAGGCCGAAGTCTATAGGCTTGCTACCCATCTTTGATAGAGAAGTATACGTTTGAAATTCTCATGGATGATAGTTCATCTTTGGGCCAGGAAATGAAGGCTTCGGAAGTTTTAATGAAAGGTCCAGAGCTATATATAATGTCATCTAACTAAGAAATTTGCATTATCGAGATAAATTAATAGAGAGCTTACTTTTTGGCTGAGTAGTACTCCTGTAATTTTTTGAGATATCATTTAGATTGGCTTGATTTCTCGCTTTAGAGGAAGAATCTACTTCAATAATCTTCTTTAACATTAAGAATTTTATTCAATATTATAAAAATTAAATGGGGTTTTGGGGTTTTGGGGTTTTGGGGTTTTGGGG